TTGCTACCATGTGATCCAGTCTCGTACAATTATGTCGCAACTGACGTATTACACTTTTCAGTTACCATCCGCGGGAACCGTTTCCGATGATGATATAAGGCTTACAAAGTATTCTGTGTAGGCTAGCTCTACCCCTAAATAAAGACTTTGCTGGCTTCTCGACCAACAACAACTTTAAATCCCCGTTTCTGCAACTGCGGTGACGTTGTGTAGCCCCGCACCGAAGGGTGGACCAAGAAACCATTTGACCTTGCGTCGCCCATAGTAGGATGCTCAACGGACCGCAAAAAGCTAACAGGGTAGAAACTATGTGCGCAGTTGTAGGTTAATTAACATCTGTATTAAGATGTGACGATCTCTTGCATAAACATGCTATCCAAAACTTCCGAGCGAGCCTTGATTACCACTCTGTAATGTAACGAGCTGGAGGGAACGAAAAAAAAATCATTCTTGAAACGGTCAACGGATGGTAAGAGTTAGTTTTGTGGTTGTTAAGTCGGCTACAGTGCGTACTGCTACTTAACTTTTGCATGCACCATTAACGATGAAGATTGAGACACGGGTCGGGATAGACGAGTGGGCGACTCGAAAATTTGCGCGTCAGTAGACGTGTTTTTGTCAGCGGAGGGACTTTCGATGATACAGGCGACTCGTCGATGCTGGAAGCGCTTTCAGAGCAAACGCAGAACAAACTGCTCATTTGGTTTTAGCTGGGGGGGGGGGGGGGGGGGGCAGCGAAGAGTCCGACGATGATCTCTGAGCTGACTGGGCGACTAGACTTGAAAAAAAAAAACTACACACCTGACATCCCTACCAATATGGCTTGCATTTTGTGAAACTAGTTCAATTGCGCCCTACTAGAATATCTAGGTGGAAGTGGTGTGATTCTAGAGGGTATGATTGCTGCAAATATTAACTAGACAAAACATAGTGGTACTACCTAGTGCATTTTCATCTATAAACCACGAATGATGTATGATTTTGCGAGTTCCAATAGTTCTGGTAACCGGGTCTCATATATGGAAAGGGTAACCCACACAATTGATGGTGGTCATTTTTTTTCTTCGTATCGGTTAATTTATTCCTGCATAACATTGGCACTTACCGCCAGCGCGACCGATTTGTAGTGACCTATGCATACAAACGGTTTTCCCGAGCAACGGTACGACTAACTTACTTTAACGTCCGACTAGAGTTTTGGTAGTCTTGACCATCCTAGCTTCATTGTCAACACCTATCCCACCGTATAGCCCAATATTCAGTTGCTGGGTTGCTGGCCGCGCCAGCTCGATAGCGTGTGATCAAGGACCTAAATGCTAAATACTACGGTGTCATTGTACTCCCACACTAACTGGCACTCGAACGTGGTTTTGAATGCACCTCGGTCTTCTTGCCTCAACCAAAGTGTGTGAGTACTGCTGCAGTCAGATGATACTGTGCGTCTACAATGGCGGCACGCGGGTAGAAGACGCCGGAAATGTGCTAGAACGGCTGCGCGGAATAGACCATCGCAGCAGCGGCCACCTCGACAAGGTCTCAGCCTGAAGAAAGTCACAGTCACGTTCTTTGACTACACGCAGTTGCCATACCGCATCGCACTGCGTCTGATGATTTTCGGGGGGGGGGGGGGGTCTGACATCCCAGTCGATACCGCGCAGTAGTTCTAGGGTATCCCCGATGTAACGTCCATCGAATGGGTTAGTGCAGCATCATTGTACGTACCTACGAGGCAACTACAAAATGTGGTATGCATGCTGAATATCTCTGTACAGATGGGTGGTGTAGGCCGCACCGTTGAAATCGACGAAACGAACTCTAACGTCGGACGCGGCCGGCAGCCGAGCATTACTGGCTCTTCGGCGGTGTCATCAGACCATGGGGCGATGGTTCAGCACCGTCACCGGCCTCGACAGGAAGAAGAGACGATATCCCCCCCCCTCATCGTAAGCATATCATGGGCGAATCGTTTTGGCACGTTGGAGGTGCGCGTGACGCACTACACCAGGACGATGCTCGGCGCTCTTTGGGAGCGCCGGGACTAGTATTTGAATATGTTCCGGTGAAAGTCCTGGCACTTCACCGACACTGTCCCGAAGTGCGTGTACTTGGACGGCCTGATGCAGGGCATCCGCAAAATCTATTAGGTTTAGGTCTAGAATGTAAATCACAAAGGTAACATTGGCGGTTGTCGAAAAGCGTAGGAAGGGGGGGTTAGGGTCTGCCGCGTAATTTACGCGTGAACGGTTTGGGCTTGACTAACAGGGCTCACAAATAGCGACTTTCGGGTTACCCGACCCACCCGATCGCTTCTGCTGGGACCACTCGGGTACCCGCACCCACCCGACAACGCTTTTCGGGTACCCGGGTCTATTACAATATTATCATAAGACAATGTATTACACGAAGTAAGCAACACACTTTCTAGCAAACGTACTGAATTAACAAGAGTTCATCGGTCAGTACAACTAAAAATTACTTACACTTGATAAGAACTTATCCGCTAGGCCTTCTCGTTTAAGGCCACTTAATGAGTGAAACTCTAATCGCACTTTCATACCAATTTATGTTTCCAGTACACACCACTTAGCTATAATTGAGAGACCTTGATGTGTTCGGGTATACCCGCACCCACCCGAAACTTCGGGTCTACCGGGGCGGGTAATCAATTTACCCGGGTTCGGGTACCCGATTGCGAGCTCTGTTGACTAGTTGACAGCTCATGTAGTGATTTTGTGCGACCTTGCTATGTGAAATATGTCGCACTCGAATTATGGTAAATCATATTCAGTGTTTTTATATCGTATTACAGATAGTAATGGTACTGTTCGTCTTTTTTTTTAATAATGCTATGCTCACAGCGCCGAGAAGTCGACATTTCGAGGTATTTAGTGTTTCTTTAAAGCCCGGACGAGGTGGATTTCGTTATGTCATAATTTCATCTTGATGGACGCTGAAAAAGTAGTACAAGTTACGTACACGTGGGCTACCCCCGATTGCCCCATCATTTTTGATAAGCTAGTTCACGTGACACAAAAATAAAATAAAAATGTGCCCATATCCATGTTTCTGATGCATAATTGCAAGGACGGCTGCCACTTCAGCCGATCTTCTGCAATTGATACCATTGGCATTGGTGAGCAAACGTTTTTGGCGGAGAGGTTTCGTCAGCATCTCCTGGTGTGGGAGTGTTTTGTGTACGTCGTTTAACGATATTACTAGCCATGCTAGTAATTTGCGACGGCAACATTAACTATTGCCGCTCTGGCAAACAACCATCTGGGTGCGCAGTCACAAACAATTCGAAAGAAATCTACTATTTACTCTCAATCATATACTAGTATATAAAAAGAATATTGCTATCCTGTTGCACTCACCCCGCCTCCAAGAGAAGGTTTTTCTGTAAATACTTTATTCACTTGTGTCTTGATCTGTCCTCAGCTTCATTGCGATTTCGCGGTACTCATCTGTGGTCTTAATCCACTTCGACATCAACGCTCTACCCTTGGTCGTCGAACTCGGCTCCGCGACATCCTTGGCGTTGACAGTCACCGCGCCGCCCTTGGCCTTGCCCTCCTCTGAGCTGTCTTTGGTCTTTGCAGCCGCGACGCAGTGGACATTCAAGTATCCCGTGCCGGTCTTGGGCTTGACCTCCATGCTCGTGCTCAGCTCCTTGTCCACAACGTCTTGTCCGACCGTTTTCTCGACGACTGCGTCGTCCATGGGCTTCACGGCGCAGGGCACACCCGTCCTCCCCGCACACAGGGAAACACCAACTGCTTGACGGCATACCGTTTCCAGTGCGGCGCCTCAGACAAACGGATCTTTTTCGCCAGCCAGCCTTTCGATCTGACAGATCGCCGAGCATGGATGCGAGCGCCGGACCACCTTCCTTGTCCCGCCATGCAGCTTCTTAAACAGTCCTCCGGCGTTCTGCACAGACGCATACCACAACATCAGGTCGCGTGTTGGCCCCACAGCCCGTCGGTACTGAGACGAACAAGTGCCACCAGTATATGAAGACACGATGCATGCATAGGACACACGGGAGCGATGGTGCTGGAGGGGGCCTGTTCTTCAGGCAGGAAATCCAGGACTGCTTCCTCCAACGGGGTTCGAACGGCTTGCTTGCACAAACCGCGCCTTATCCCCCTTGTAGCATTTATGCAAGGATATTGCTATCCTGAAACATCGACTTTTGGCGCGCGCGCGCGTGTGCGGGGGTTCCTTGCAACGCTTCTGACAGGTTGTAAACCCACAAATAGTCGAAATCTCCCTCTTTCGTTTGGCACCAAAACCAGACCTAGGCTAAAAATTGACGTGGTATTGAGACTGCGTCAAGCTTACGAACCACTTGGAGTTTTCGCGATAATCGCGTTTGAAGTTGACCAATCGAATTTCGTACCTAACCGGACTTCGAATTTGAGAGTGAAAAATAACTCATAGAAAGCGGAAAGTACGCTTTTTCGATTGCTTTTAGCAAGAGCTTTCCGATAATAAATGTACAGTACTAAAAAATGAAGCAATGTTGAGGTTGGGCGCAAAAAAATGTAAAATACGGGATTAGGGGGTCCGAAAATTGAGATATTTTTTCAGACCGGTGTCACTCGAGTTCTTAATATTTAGACGTGCTCGATAGCGCACATGACACTGTAATTTCGATTTATGCGGTTAAATCACGATTCGTACTTAGGTTCGTAAGCAAGGCAAAGCACCAAGTCAAATATTTTTCGAAGTGTCCATTTCGTGTTATCATGATATGATGACATTCGAAAAATATTATGAATTGGCGCTTTGCCTAACGGCAAACTTACAGTTAATGCTAGTACAGCTTTTGAGAGCTTTCTTTTTCGGTTTTCCCAGATCAAGCATCCAGCTTTTTTAAAGGAAAATAATTCTTTTTTAACTTTGAAAGCTTTCCTTTCGTAAACACTGGCGGTTTTCCTCGGCTTTAATTATAGGCGGACTGATCTGCTACGCTCGATTGCATCCACACTACCTACATGGAAACTGTGAACATGCCCTTAGCTCAGAACTATCCGACGGGAGAGGTAGCAGTTCGGCTTGACGACCTCGGCTGCGGCTTTTGCTAGTGCGTGCGAAATCTTCTGATTGTTGCATCAAGTGCGACTCCTAATTCCATGGCAGTTATCCCTCAGGGCGAGTTGCCGCATGCGCGAACAAGATCAATGACTATCAGCGCAGCTTCCAGTTCTACGAAGATAACAAGAAGCGCACGCTACTGGCAACTCTGGATGAACATGCTGTGAGTACCAACTGCAGTGCTGTATTTCTCATTCGATCACCAGCTAAAACGGCGTGTTATTAGGTAGGGTCTGCCGGAAAACCCGGGGGCAAGAAGATGATTCTGACTAGAGAGTGTGGGATCATTTTGGACGGCCAAGACGTTATTCTCAAGGTAGGTGGCTGCAATACGCAAAAATGCTGTTGAATTGATACCTAACCGAAAGGGTGATGTGTAGACCTGGCGCTGGGATCCTAAAGCGCAGCGAGCTGGCTCACCACCGTCGGAGCCCGTTGTCATCAACCTTAACGACAGCCTGGTATTTACTTATCGAGATCACAGCTCGATTTCCATCAAGTTTGCTCCATGTCCCGGTATTCTGGTGGATTTCGCTTGTGGTGAACGCCTTCGCCGGACGGACTCGTATTTCGACCACGCTCACCGTGTTACAGAAGGACCTCAGCGCGGGAAGTTGCGAATTGACCAGGACGTGCCGACCTTACAGCAGCGACAAAAGCTTATAGAACTCGACTCACTCGAGAAAAGGAGCAAGTCCAAACCACGAAGCAAAGACCTCGCTCACGGCCAGATCAAGCGAATAGTTTCGACGCTGGAAACGAAGTTCGACGGGTACGAAGGGTGCCGCGTCACACCAGCAGCAGACGGGAACTGGAGAGAAAAAGCTCATCTACAAAGTCTCCGGGAAATTCCTGTTTTACCTGTCACGGGTTTCGAGGTTGGTCAAGTGCCCACACTCTTCGGTTCCGAGGTGCAGACCAACGATGCGTCCGAGTCACTAAAGCGCCTGAAAAACGACTTCAACGGGAAGTGGCTCGGATCTGTGGAGATCCACAAAATGATCACTCAGGAGAACCCTGGACTGCCACGAACTGGGTCCTTGACGAATGCGAGCGGGCGCTACTCGCAAGAGCTGCAAGTTGCAGGAGGCGGCACAAAGCCAGTAGGCGAGCACTTGGCCACGATCTCCGGCTCGAAGCTCGATTCGTTCCTTCGTGAGAAATGTGCTAATGACGAGTTGGTGGTGGTCGCTTGCCTGCGTGCCGACGATCGCCATTCGCGTGCCGCGGAGGCAATGCTGAAGCAGGTGCAATTGATTCTCTCGAAGCGAATGCGGAATCCGGAGCGTCCGACGACTGCAGCGGCGGAGTGAGTACTTGCGTTTACAGAATGATCCGATGTTTGTTACCTCAACCAATTTTTACTAACGACACGGCTGCACTTGCATCTGTATGTTGAAGCAGCAATAAATGTCGTCTCGTCAAGTGCGACCTCGCCGAGTCCGGAGCTCTGGCTGCCCGTTATCAAATTCACGCCGTGCCCACATTCCTCATGTATGGTTGTTTAGTTGTCTAGCTGTCTCTGCAGCATCAACCGATTTGTCTGACGGACCATGTCGTTGACAGGTTTTATGACTCGCGACTTGTGCACGTCTCGAGTCTCGGTGGGCAGGCGTTGCGGGTGGCCCCGACTACCAAAAATGCCCACTTATCGGGGCAAATGGACCACGTGCCACGCGTGTTACTTATAGAGAAGGTTGCTAAGCAGCAGTTAGCGATTGAGAGTTTCCTGCGACGCGAGGGCTTTCAGTGGGACCTCGCTAGCAGCGGAGAGCAGGCCGTGTCAAACTTTACTCGCCAGCCCACCTCAAGTGCCACAGGCAGTAATGGCCCCGCTGCTGGCTACGAGCTGATCATGCTAAGTGACTCGGTAAGAGCCCATTGATTCACTCTTGGCACAGACCTCGCCGCTCACCTCATCTGCGTATTTGCTGTATCATAGTTGACCGACAGTGATGTCCGGGCCATCGACCGGTTTGTCGGCCCGAAAGAGCGCACCAAACGGAAGTCAGGACTAAGAGCCCTGGTTTGCGTGGTGATCTCTGCTGCTGGATACGACGTTGCGTTCTCAAAGACGATGTGCCAAGCGTGTCGCCGAGCTCAAGGGCGTCGAGTGAGTCGAGAACTTGTGGCTTCAGCAGAGCGAGCCACTCGCGAGCCCCCGTTGATGGCCTGTCCCCACTGCAGCCTGGTTACCGAGTCAAGTGGCAAGACAGCTCTGTTGTCGCCGGTTCTCGCTGAAATGGCCCAGGCCCTCGTGTACAAGAGCGTCAAGGCCGCAACACTGCATCGACTCGCTGAACTCTGGGCTGCGGATACAGGGGGAAGCAGCTCGACCCCTCCTTCGCGCCGTGGCCCCCGGCACTACGGAGAAACTCATCTGGGTCTGACCCCGTTTTCGTTCTTTGCCGAGGTGGACAAGCAGATCGCCGCGGCCAAGCGCGGCGCGTTCTTACCCGAGCACCGCACCCCCGAAATGGCTCTCAGCGCCAAGGACACGGTGCTCTCACAGCAGCATGGGCGTCAAGCCGCAGAAGGCATGAGCGTGCTTCAGCTGGACCAGGTGCGATCTGCATCTGCCTAACCAAGAGCTACAGTAGTGAAGTAGTTAAGCGTCTCAAAGCGCTTTAAGATCGCAGCTGATCACTTCAACATAGGGGAAGTTCAGTTAGCTCTTACTTACCACTTGCATTAGCCCACGTCATTTGACACCCGCAGCTGGAGACGTTGGGTCAGTGCGACCAGCGACGCCTTGCAGTGCAGTGCACGTGATGGTAAAGTCTCCTTTCGGCCCGTGCAGCGCGACTACGCGAAAGCGAGACGCCTCGTTTCTCGCCCTGCAACGCCACACAGCTTGCTCGTCCTGCCTTCCCTTCCGGGCCGGCTCGCCTCGCAGTTCAACGAGCCTGCTGCGCTGTAGCTTGAACCTGCAAGCATCCTGTGTGTCCCCATTCTCTCTGCACCGCAGCGCCGACCGACTTACTTGGCCTGCCTCATTGTCCGCCCCCTTTTCCTCGCCTGTCTGTTCCAAACACGGAGCCTCCACTCCCCTCCTGGAAGATGAAGATGTGGACGGCCTTCAACGGAGACCTCCACGGCCGCGCGCACCCACGGACTTGGATCCGGGACTCACGCTCGAGGTCCCGAGGGCGCCGGTGCTTGCGGGCAGTGGCTGCACATTTCGTCACAGCCGCCACTTGGCTGCAAGGGCGGGATGACCACCGCGGCGCAGGTTGCAACGGGGACAAACAGACGCGGCCACATCCAAGTCGGCCTTCCTCCACATGTTCGCCGAAATATAGACGCTCCACGCGCGCTTCTCGGCCTTCCGTTGGCTGCGATTGGCAGGCCACCGCGTGAGTGCCGTCCAGGGGCGGGTCAAGGTGCGTAGAGTTCAGACGCCCCTCGATGCGACCGGACGACGCTTTATCGGCGCCGCCGCGGCCGCCGTGGCACCATTGTGCATCGCCCGAGACGCCGAGCACTTGTGTCGGGCCCCACCATGGAAAACTCGCGCGACCGGCCGTCCGTGCTGGGGCGGCGCATGTCCTCCGCCGGCGCCTCGCGCTTCCCGCTGGGCGCCGACTTCTTCCCGGACGTCACGTTCTCGCCCGAGCAGCATGCGTTCCTCAAGGAGCAGGCCGACAAGCTGTCGGCCGAGGCCGTGCAGCGGGCCAAGTGGGCCATGAGCTACGAGGACGGCGCCAACGGCTGGAAGCTCTCCAACTCGCAGCGCCACTTCCGCGAGACCGGCATCCGCACCTGCTGCAGGAGGCGCGACGCGCGCGACCGCGACGGCCAGCGCCAGCTCGAGTTCCGCTGCATGGGCAAGGCCAACATGTCGCTCGACCACTGCCTCGGCGCGCTCTACTCGGACAACACGGCGGACTTCCGCAGCAACACGACCTTCCTCATTGAGAGCGCGCTGGACGCCGTGGTGCTCAACGCGCTCGAGACACGGACGGACGACAGGCCGCACCACTACCTCGGGCTCAACTGGCTGGCCAGCCGCTCGCCGGGGCTCTTCGTCAAGAGCCAAGACCTGTGCTACCTGCGGAGTCTCGGCACGACGCTGGACAGCGACAAGAAACAGGTCGGCTACTTGGTCATCCAGTCCGTGGACATTAAGGAGTGTGCGTCGCTGGAGAACTCGCTGGGCCTCATGCGCACCAAGATGTCGGCCGTACTGTTATTTAAGGAGAACGCAGACGCTCGCTCCACCAGCGTGCTGTGGCAGGGATCCATGGGCCTGAACGGCCACTCGTCCAGCAAACCCGTCAACTTTGTGCACGAGACCTTCACCTCCATCGTCTCGAACCTCAACAAGGTGCAGGAGGCCAAGTACATGGCGCAGCGGGTGGAAGTGAACAAGTTCCAGCGCATGATCGCAGGGTACGTGACTCGTTGACTAGCATCGAGTATTGCTGAAGAGTGTACTGACTGACAGTCTTGGTTGGTTTGGCTTACAGAGAGCGCAAGTACTGCTACATTTGCAACAAGAAATTCTCGCTGGTGCGGACACGCGCGCAGTGCAGTGCCTGCGGGGAAAATATCTGCAAGGATTGTGAAGTATCGAGCCGAGCGAAGGCTTTCAACACCGGTAGCTTCGACATCCCCACGCCGACCTCGAGTCGCCCCGAAGTCGTGGTGTTCTGCAAGAAGTGCGTGACAGCTGCGCGCCGCGACCTGAACAACCAGGAAGGAATCACGGCGCTCCGTTTATTTGACAACGACACGTACCCGGCTTCGGCGGACGATGGAGACTACCGTCCGTCCTACGCCGGCAAAGCGTCCAACCAGAGCAGCAGCACGAGCACCAGCTCCTTGCAGAAGCTGACTGCCGAGGGACGCAGTAGCATCCTCTCGGACCGCGCACCGCTGTACGTCGGGACCACGATCCCCATGTCGAGCGCTGGCGAAGTACCTATGAGCCCGCTGTCCGTCCGGACGGAGCGCGAGAAGCGGCGTTCTCGATTGGAGACCGACCCGATGGAGTCGTATGACGGCTTCGAGAACCACGCGTACGGCGAGCCAAAGGAGGACCAATTCGAGCCACAGGAGTCTATTCGGGAGAGCTGCAGCAGCTACAGCAGCTACAAGCACGCGCTGGACCGACGCGGGTCACAGGAAGCTCGCGACAACGACATGGCCAGCCGATTACGAGAGATCTCGCAGCGCGCGCAGGAGGCTCTGGAGGTGACGAAGCGCAACTCGTGCCTGATGAGCGACACGAGCAGCGCGCCTCGTATGTCGGACTTGACGGCCTTCAAGGAGCTGGACAAGTCCATCGCCGAGCAGGCGGATCTGCTCAACGTCATCGGCCTCGTGAGTACCGGCCGCGTGTATATGGAGAACAACGGGCCCGAGCAGGGCGGAGTGCGTGTCAGTGAGTCGTCCAGTATCATGAGTGAGGACGAGCGGTTCGAAGTCCTCACGTAAGCTGCAGTAGTAGCAACCAAACCACAGCAAAATGAACTTTACCATAAGCTTTAATCGCCACCAAAGCTGCTGTTCCAGTCCATCCAACACATGGTAATCAACCGTTTGAGAGGCAAAAACAATGTTTTTTGCACGCGTCCACAAGAAACTTCCCTAACTCCGATCAGCTCAACTTGAAGTTTGTATGCTTGACCGGCATACGTGGTCCAAGCGGCCCTGCACCGTCGATTTGAAGGCCTGAAGCTGAAGCGACCGTCTGAGCCACTCAGCCAAGCAAGCTCATTCGCGTTTCGGAGCTCTCGACCACAACCGTTGTAGCAACGCAATGGCCGGACACGACGGCAACCTGTCGACGTCGCTGACGCTGGGCCTGGGCCTGCTGGCCGCCACCATGACGCTCATCACCGCGGGCAGCGTGGGCCTCGTGGGCTTCATGCTGGGCCGCCAGATGCCGCAGGAGCAGGCGCAGGGCCAGAGCTCGGGCCGCAAGGGCAACAAGCAGGACGACTTCGCGTCGCCTGAGCAGGAGCGCCGCCACCGCCTGCGCATCCCGAGCGGCACGGCCAGCGAGGACGTCAAGATCACGGACAAGAAGTCCATCGTGGACGTGCGCATCTCGGGCATCCGCCCGCTCATCCCGCCGGCCATCCTGCTGGAGGAGATCCCGCTCACCACCAAGATCGTGCAGACCATCAACCGCGGCCGCCAGGGCCTGGCCAACATCCTGCGCCGCCTGGACGACCGCCTCGTGGTGGTCGTGGGCCCCTGCTCCATCCACGACACGGACGCTGCCATGGACTACGCGCGCCGCCTGCTGGAGCTCAAGAAGGAGCTGAGCAAGGACCTGCTCATCGTCATGCGCGTGTACTTCGAGAAGCCCCGCACCACCGTGGGCTGGAAGGGCCTGATCAACGACCCGGACCTCGACGGCTCCTTCAACATCAACAAGGGCCTGCGCGTGGCCCGCGAGCTGCTGGCCGCCATCAACGAGCTGGGCCTGCCCGCCGGCTGCGAGTTCCTCGACACCATGTCGCCGCAGTTCATCTCGGACCTCGTGAGCTGGGGCGCCATCGGCGCGCGTACCACCGAGTGCCAGCTGCACCGCGAGCTGTGCTCGGGTCTGTCCATGCCCATCGGCTTCAAGAACGGCACGGGCGGCGACCTGCAGCTGGCCGTGGACGCCGTCGTGGCTGCCAAGCACTCGCACTGCTTCCTCAGTGTGAGCTCGCAGGGCCTGGCCGCCATCGTCAACACGTCGGGCAACGACACGTGCCACCTGATCCTGCGCGGCGGCAAGTCGGGCCCCAACTTCGAGAAGGAGCACGTGGACGACGCCTCGGCCCGCATACTCAAGGCCAACCTCGTGGACAACGTCATGATCGACTGCTCGCACGGCAACTCGCAGAAGAAGCACAAGAACCAGGTCAAGGTCGCGGCCAACATCGCCGACCAGCTGCGCGCCGGCGACGACCGCATCGTTGGCGTCATGCTTGAGTCTAACATCGAGGAGGGCAACCAGCCGCTGACCCCGGGCAAGCCGCTCGTCTACGGCAAGAGCGTAACGGACGCCTGCATGGGCTGGGAGACCACCGTGGAGGTGCTGCGTGACCTGGCTGCTGCCGTGCGCGAGCGCCGGGCTAAGAGCCAGCAGTAAGCAAGCGGTGCGTGGACAAGCTCGAGACAGGAGCAGGGTCTCTAGTGACCTTCCTCCTGGGTTAGTGTGTGCAGTTAGCACGTCCTCTTGCTGGGCTTGATTGTGAGTTAGGAGAACGCTTTCAAATTTATCTGCATGCGATCGTTTCATTTGTTAGCGATGGCTCGCCTCAATACAGCGGATTTGTTTCTGCCACTTTCTAGTCTTACATCTACTGCAGCCGCAAAGCTACAAAAACCCTTTGGTCACCTCGCGTTGTCAAAGTTCCCTCTTCTGGCTGCCGCTCGACGTGATAACAGCGGCGTCTGAGAGAAGGGCGAGATGACATGAAGTCCTGGATTTGGTCTAGGGGATCGGCCAGGTTCGGCTGTTAGCTCGCGCTTGGCTTCGGCAGACGGGATCGGAGTTCCTGGTCGACCGGTAGGTGCTGGCTCGACCTCATCGGGCGCGGCCCGTGGCGTCAATGGCTGAGGGATCTGCAATTTCTCTGGTTGCTTTTCTTCTTCCTTCTTCCGCTCAGCCGTCTCGATAGAAATTGGCAGTGCACGTACGGTGTCATCTGGAACCTTGAGCTTCGGGATCTCGACAGGCGAATCTGCTTCCTCGTACGCGTTCGCTAGCTGGTCGATTTCGCGCGGGTCGAAGCTCCCCACCGACTTGTCCGAAGGGCATTGACTGCCTTTGCTCATTGCTAACCACGAAGACAGCAGCATCTTTGTAGCTTCATTCGCTCCAACTTGACTGGGTCCAACGTGCATTGTGCTTTGAGCGGCTTCTCCAGCGAGAAGCCGCTTCATCCGCTTTCGCACCACTTCAACTTGAACTGCGCGATGAATCTTAGCAGCCCCAGCGATTCGACCTTTGCCTCCCCGTTGGCCAGCTTCGGACTGCCTCCGATTGAACTCCCCCGCCGCCATTGGAGGCAAACGCTCCTTGATCAACTGAATTCGCTGTTGGGCATCTGCAGGAAGATATTTCTGCTCTGCTTTGAGTTTTGCAGTGTGTTTGTCGTAATTTTCAGTCGACAGTGACATCGCGTCTTCGTCGAAGTCCTCACGTAGCTTAGTGCGCAGAACTTGTGCAAGCCGCTGTTCCACTTTGGCGTATTCGGCAGCCAGCACCGGATCGAGGCTCATCCACGAAGGCTCCAGTGTCCTCAGCTCGGATGATCCTGTGCCTAGATCCGCCTCCATCTTCACCAGTCGCGCGTCCACGAGCCGATCAATCTTCATCAGTTCCAGTTGCTTCTTGGCCAGGAACCCGCGGACGAGAGCTTGTAATTTTACAATACGAATCAATGCAGCTTTTCCATTTCCGGAGCCGCTCTTAGATTCCTCGTCGTCTTCGGTCTGTAGCTCTAGCAACTTCGACGAAGACAGCGTCAAGGAAGCTCGTTTGATGTCCTCGATACGGTCTGTTACCACCGCGTGAGACTCGATCACGTCTCCAATTTGCGTCACGGCTTCTTCGTAAAACGGGATGATCTCGACCTCGATGGACCTCTTAAGTGTGTGGACTTGCATGTCACCGGAGAGCTCAGCACCAGTACGTTTGTGGTGAAGCAAGACGCGGTGGTACGTCATCGTTGCGCTAATCTCATGGTCATTGCCGTCAAAAGCGACAACACCATTATCAGCAGCATCGAACTCATCTTTCCCAGAAAGCACTTTGGCTATCATTACGCGCAAGTCATTCGCCGTCATTCCTTCCTCGACCTGAACGTGCACTTGGCCGTCGTAATGATTTCGAACATATTCCAGTTCGGGGGCTGTAAGCGCTGCTTCCAACGAAAAGATTTCAATCGTGATGCGCCAGTTCGACGTCTTGGCCAGCGCTCGACGGGCCAAGAATCCAAGAACCACCTTTCCAATGACATGAGCTGCCTGCTGAAACTTCGCTCTTGGGTCAGGTTGGCTCGATTCTTTTGCTTCTGCAACGGGTGGTGGGGATACTATAGGAGCTGTGTCCTCTTTTGGGGGTGGAGGAGGGGCTTGCTTTACGGGAGGCGGTGAACTTCTACGCTTGACAGCTTCAACTCGGATGGGTGGCACAATAACTGGAACAATCGGCGTGGCTTTGGTCTCCGAGTCTGTTTGGACTTCTTCAGTGAGCGTGTCAACTTTTGGTTCTCGTTTGTAGCGCTTACAGTCGTCTTCTTCGTCGGTTTGGACCAGTTTGTCTTCCAGAAGAGCGGCAGACTTCGGTTTGGCAGGAGGCGGGGTCTCAATGTCAACAACTTCACCGCGATCAATACCGAACCGGTTGGCATCAAGCGCGGTGATATCCGCCAGCATCATCGTCGGCTCTGGACGATGCTGTTTCTTCTTCTTCAGCTTCGAGTACTTTGTCCACAGTTTGTTGCTTTCTTGCTCCAGAGCATCGATCTCCTGCTGCTTCTGCGCTTGAGCTCGCAAAAAGGTATCCATGAGCTTCTCCACCTTCTCCGACCATCGAGCCTCCTCACTCTTCAATTTCGCTTCTCTCTGTGATTCGTCATCATCGTTCTCCAGTCTTCCAGCGCGAGAGGTCTTCTGTGCCTGGATACGCAGGAGCTCTGCGTTGGCAGCTTCCACTTGGAGGCGGGCAATGGTCTCCTGAGTGTACTGCCTCAAGTCTTGCTTTGTTGATTCCTGCTTCTTCTCAATCTCGACGAGCGTTGTTTGCAGCCTCTCCATGTACTGCTCCACGCGCGAGCTCATCTGATTCTGCTGGTTCTCAAGTTGTAGGCGCTGCCGATCTCTTGCTTCCTGGTCATGACGAACTTGGTCTTGCAACGCCATAAGCTGTTTTGCCAATTGGTTCTTCTCTTCGAGAGCGTCGAGGACCTCTTTTGGCAACGGAGCTGGCTTTTTGCTCTTTTTCTTCTTGGAATCACTGTCACTATCGGAATCCGATGATGAGCTTGCCTTCTTTTTCTTGTGTTTCCTTTGCCCATTTGCGTCTTGATGTCGTCGTTGCTGGTGACGAAGCAGGTACTCGGTTGACACGAAGCGCTTTTCGCACAAGACGCAAGGCATCGCTGTTGCAATGGTCACACAAAAATATGTAGCAAGGTTAGTATCACCCCCCATGATATCCAGGCTGACCTCTGTCAACTTACGGTTTGTTATCGATCCCTCTTCCGTGGCATTGGGACCTGCTCGGTTAGCCAGTAGCTCGTCAACTAGAACGTTGGCCTCCCTTGCAGCATTTCCCTTGGCAGAAGAGCTCATACGATTTGAAGTTGAGGCGTTGAGCAGCATCAGCTCCAACGTCGCCATCGTGCGCTGCTTCTGCCGGATCTCGCGCTTCAAGCTGGCAATCTCCGTTTCGTGCTGTCCATTCTCCGTCTCGAGTTGTTGGCACTCGGTCATGAGTTGCTCGCACTGTTTCTCGAGTCCTTCCGAGTGATCGACGAGTGAGTCTTGCACGTGCATCAGGTACTCCAGCGTAAGCTGCCAAAATCACACACTTGTGAATATGTAAATCTCTGTACCTCATCAAAACGCAATTACCTGCGCAATCTGGAACAGCTTCAGGAAGTAGGCATCTGAGTAGTGCTGCACGTCATCCAGTGTCACATCCGCAAAAGCCAGGTTCTCTAGGTGTCTCTGGATAGTTTCAATGTCAGTGGTAGCTGCAATCTTCTCGAGGTCAAGTCGTGCAATCGCGCGCGTGTCCAATTTCCCTGCCCGCTGTCGGAACGCAAAGTTGCGCGTAGGGAGCCAAACCTGTCGCTGGAGTCCGTGGGTCGGGCTAACCGGTTCATTTTCCTTATCCTGCAAGGCGTCATCTCCATCGCTGTCACCACCCAAGGGTTCGGTAACCCGCTTTGCCTTGCGTTGAGCTAGAAATTTAGCTCTACGGTCAAAATCTCGAGGTGCAGACCTCCGACCTTTGCGCAGTCTCGACGAGAGCTCCAGATTCCGTGAGTCTGAAAATCCACGACGGCTCGGAGGCACTCGACCTCGAGACCGAAACGCGGACGATGAAGAGGGTCGGAGAGGCCCAAAACTGCCGGCATACTCGTCGTAGCCGCTATACAGGCGTGCATCGTCCATGTAGTGGCTCCCCATGTTCGAGTATTGCACCTCCGCGACTCTAAAAGATTTGTGCCGCTTCAGGGCCATGAATACTACGTTGTATATTTTAACCTGTAGCCAAGTCTATAGACCTGAATTCATTCAGTAGATGAACTTAGCCACCTGAATTGAAAGCTGTAGTCAACACCTGCCGACATTTGATAAAGCGGTCAGTATTGTTAGTCGATGCATCTTGCTGACATTGTATAGGCAGAAGCGTACCAAAATGCACCAGTGTGATCTGTAGTAAGGGCATTATCCAGACGAAGAGCCGACCTTGAACCAGATCTGCTTCCGTCTCCAAGACGAATGCCAGCTGATACAACAGTGAGAAGCCGAATCTTCGCTTCAGCGCCACATGAAGCCCCAGAAGAGACAAAATCTAGGTCAGTGCATACACCATAATGCTCCCAATGTTGGTTTGAAGCTGGTCCGAAGTCAGTGTGCGCGTGTGAGGGTAGTACTTAGCGCTGGGGAGGTTAAATACGATCGATAGATAAATCACATAGACCATGGGGATGACACTCTCAATGTACTCCACTAGCACAAGATACTCTAAGCGGAAGAGCATTTTTTGAGAACTTTGCTCGAATTTAGATCCATCCGCGTCCAGGCTGCCTATCGAGGAGGAAGGCTTAGCTTTTATGTCACTGCCGTAAGCACTTGAGGGAACTATTTGGTTTTGTGAGTGGGTAGATCTAAGAAGACTCACGGAGTGCTGTTTTCTTCTCGCTTCGCCACAAAAATTCCGCAAGCCGTGGTTCAGTTTGAGGGAATTGAGCGCATAATTTCTCTAGCTCGCCTGCTTCTCGTCAAGTCTCCCACAAAGAAATCATCGTTTTAGTAACGTTGAGAGCTACCATCATAAGGGAAGCCCACCAAGATCGAACCGACTGAATGCAGCTCGACACGTATAATCCGTTGAACAGATCCACAGTTAACACGACCACGACTGGGATGGTTTCCGAGCTGTCGGAAGCTAGGCGGGCAATCCAATGCTTGAACGCAAGCTTCATGACTGGTTGTAGCAGCAGCAATCCAAACTGCTGTCGATGATTGCACTTGGCGAATATTACACTGAACGTGACGTAGACGAAAACCAACGCTGACTGAGCAAGAATTAAATAAATCCTGTGCTTGAGACTTGAGCCACTGCGAGGAATAAAGGGGCTTCCTCCTCGCCGAATCACAACTAGCAAAGATACCACGAAAAATGTTTGAAACGGGACCGATATGCGGAAACGTCCACACGGCGGATAACGCTATCAAGACAGCGAGTGTCCCGCATCCAGTACCAGCCACAACCATGAAGATCTTGCGCAGTGACAACTCCGGGGTCGCACTGCGAATCTGAAAGAGAAATCCAAATGCGGCGGAGTTAATGAAGACCCAAAACCGAATCCACGCGCCGTAGTTGCGCTTCCAACCACTTGTCGGATCTTGCAGCGGAATACATTCTGAAAGAAGACCCAGTAGTAGTGCTGGAAGAGGAGTGATTACCAATACCATTATCACTCGAAAAAGCGATGCTTGTTGGCTGTATTTGTCAAGAATGTCCGTTCGTACAGCCGAGTACTTTCCGAAACGAGAGACTTTAGTACGACTCCATAGCCGAAAGGCGGCTTGGTATACACACGAAGCTCGACAAAGACTCACGTGCTGATGGAGTGCCGGGGCAGTGGACTCAGCGGGGACAACAGTGTTCATTGTCATTGCTACTTTGGTTTTGATAGGCTAGACACTCTCGTCCGCCCCCTGGAATAAACCTTACTATTATTGAAACCTGCTGATGACGAGCTGAGGCTACTGCTTTGAATAGTGACCACGTTAGGTTTGTGGACGGCGAAGTGGGCCCAAGAGGAGCTACATAGCCGTGTGGCATGATGCCATTACTGTTAGCCATCCAAATGTGCGTGTGCATAGTGCTAGATGACAATTCGTCATCAAGTAGTGCGGCGTAGCCACTTGAACTGAAAACTGAAGTCGACACCTGCATTTTTCCAAAGCGGTAATACACACAAGTTTATGTAAGTTTTCTGAATTCGTGAGATGGAGCGTAGACTTCGTACCGAAGTGCACTAGCATAAGCTGCAATATCGGCGCTATCCACATGAAAAGCCGGCCTTGGTGCTGCCCTTTTTCGGTCTCCAGTACGAAAGCCAACTGATAAAGCAGAGAGAAGCCGAACTTGCGGCGGAGCACAATGTGAAGCCACACAAGCGAAAAACTCTCCGCCGAAGCGTAAAGCAGTATACTTCCAACGCTCGTGCGCAGTTGAGCCGAGGAGAGATCAGCTGTATGCGCATAGTACTTGGCACTTGGAAGTTGGACAAGGACCAGTAAGTGAAGAACGTAGAGAGCGGGGACGACGCTTTCGACATAGGCTACGAGAACCACGTACTCCAAGTGGAATAGCATGCTCCGTGAGCAATTATCCAGCTTTGTTTCGAGAAGGGATTGTGATTGCCGCTGCTTTCGCGCTAATTTCGTCGAAGGTAAGCTCGTGGCATCTTCAGAAGGAACGATGCACGTGTGAGACCTTGAACTCTGAACAAGGCTGACAGAAGTTCTTCTGCTTTCGTGAGGCTGGTTGCTTCGACGGCTTAAGCGGTCAAGGACAGTCGCTTTCTTGTTGATATCCCAGAGAGAAATCAGTGTCTGCGCGATAGTTAACGTGATCATCTGAAATGATCCCAACCACGACTGCGATGACTGAATACAAGTCGATATATACAATCCGTTGAACACATCCACCGTAAACACGACTACAACAGGGATGATCTCTTTGTTGTCAGAAGCCAGCCGAGCACCGACGTGTTTGTACGCAAGCTTCACGACAGGTAGAAGCAAGAATAGCCCAAACTGTTGCGTCGAATTGCATTTTGCAAAGATAACGCTGAACGTGACATAACTGAATGCCAGCACAGATTGAGCAAGAATCAAATAAAGCTGGTGTTTCCGGGTAGCGCTAAGCTGAGGAATAAGTGAAGACGCTCCATGCCGCCGAACGGATCCCAAAAAGAAAATCGCGAGAAACAATTGGAACGGAATCGAGGCGAGCACAATGCCAAATGGAATAGGAAATACCCACACTGCAGCCAGCGCAACCATTGTGAACATTGCTCCGCACCCAGTGGCGATTCCAATTAGATAGATACTGCTACATGACAGATCTGGAGTGGTATTGCGAATCTGAACCAGCGAGCCGACGGCAGCCGTTGCAAGGTAGTCGAACAACCTGATCCACACCACGTAGTTTGCTTTCCAGCCTTCAGACGGATCGCGCAGTGGAAGAATTTCCAAAATTATAGCAAGTACGAAAGCGGGGACTGGAGTGATAGCGCATAGCACGATAACGCGCAACAACGACGTGCGCTGACAATAAATGTTGAGTACTTGCGCGCGTTCCTCGGGATAACACCCGAGTCGGTAGACAGCCAGTCGGTCTTTTAGTTGTGATACGGCTCCGAGCGCTTGAGAAACTCGCGAACGAACCAGGCGTCCTTGAATCTTGGGCCCATGAGGGTCGTCGGATAGAATACTATTCAGTGGCATCTGCGCTGTGAATGCAAAGTACTAGTAGTAGATGCGGCATGAGCTCTCCTCCCAGAATAAATGCCTCGATTCATTATTCTTGGCATGTCCGACAACGGTGTTGCCATCCACGCAAAGCCAAAGCTAAAATCCATGCCTTCCCAGTCAACAGACGATCAGCAGTCTAAAAAGCAACAAAACTTTACGAGTGAAACATCAAAATGGCGTACCGTAGTGCACGAGCGTGAGCTGCAGTAGAATGACGATCCAGACGAAGCGTCGACCTTGAAGCAGGTCAGTATCGGTCTCCAGCACAAATCCTAGCTGATGCAGCATTGAAAACCCAAGTTTGCGCTTAACCGTAACGTGAATCCTCACCAAAGACGCAACTTCTGTTGCTGCGTAGACGATGATACTCCCGACCGTCACTTGAAGTTGCTCGTTCGTGAGCAAACGCATGTAAGGGTAGTACTTGGCGCTTGGCAATTGGCTCACGATTGACAAGTAAACGGCGTAGAGAATCGGTACCACAGATTCAATGTACCCGACAAGCACGCGGTGTTCCAGATGGAACAACAACTTCGGCATTATATGAACATGCCGTGTAAAAATGGTTTTCCCAGCTACTGCTGCTCGGCTGTCGATGTCTCGCGTGGATGGAGCGGGGAGTACCATAATCGTTGCACTTCGTAGCAAGCTTGGGGACTTTTGTCGGACTGTGGTACTCGGAGCTACCCTTGCTCTCTTTGCCTTGAGCTGCCTGGTAGTTCTTTTCCGGGTTGCCGTCATGAGCGGCATGGTGGCATTACTTATCTCCGACATTGACAGCATTGTGTGCGCAGCATTCAGGACAATCATGACGAGTGACGTCCACCACGATCCAGACGATTGCATTCAGATCGAAGTGCACAACCCATTAAAGATGTCAACAGTGAAGACTACCACAGCAGGGATGGATTCCACGTTGTCAGACGCGAGTTTCGCCAGAAAATTCTTCAGAGCCAGCTTCATCAAGGGGAGTAGCAGAAGTAGCACGAACCGCTGCGCATGAGTGCATTTGTCAAATATGACGCCAAATGATACGTACACGAAGGATAGCTGAGCTTGGACGAGAATGAGAAAGATTTTCCGTTGAAGTGGCTTTCCAATCGAGCTGATGACTCCGCCCCCCTATGTTTGATTGCGAGCAAAAAGAATGTCACGAAGAAAATCGCTGCTGGGATACACATTAGCAAAAGCGTGAACGGAAGAGGATAAACCCTAGCAGTACCAACGTCAGTGTAGAGCTACATCCAGTTGCAACGGAAATGTTGAATATGCTGCAGTAGGAAAGCTCTGGTGTTGTTGCTCGAACTTGAAACAGGGACCCAGCCGCGGTCGATGTGATGAGTACACAAAGCCGAATCCAAGCTCCAGTGTTGGCTTTCCACCCCTCTGCTGGATCACGCAGTGGGATAAGTTCCGATGCAATTTCCAGGAGCAGCGCAGGAAGTGGCATGAACACGGCAACTAGAACCACCCGAAGGAGCGAAGTCTTCTCGCAATACTGATCCAGAGCAACCACACGCCTTGCGGAATAAGTTCCCAGCCGAGAAATGCCCGCCATAACCGCGAAACTGCGCGACGGGAAGAAATCTCATCAGGTGCGATACTTGTTGGTGTGACATGCTTCATACGGCTTAGGTCGAGTGAGATAACTAGAAGCTCCAAGTATTTTGCTGACAGACAAGCGAACACAGTTAGTGACATGGGAATCTCGATATAGACCCTGTAATGCCCAAGATGCCGACTCTTTTTAGAATTACATGCTGGGAACTCAGCATGGATCTCCAACATAACGCAACAACCAACACATAACACCACTTTGTGTCAGCCGAAACGTTTGCTGATGATGTGTCGGTTTACATACAGATACTCTTTGATGCGATCACGCTGATCGGCGGCGCTATCATCCATGCATTCGTCCTGATCGGAGTCCTCCGAGTCCGAGTCCTCTTCCAAGTCTTCCTCGTCCGTATCGTCTTCCAGTGATGAGTCTACCTCGACTAGATCCCCCAACTCCACCAAAATGTTATGCAACACAATCGCAGTCGATATAACCTGGGCCATTTGTGTCGTGGCAGCATCTCCCTCCCCCGTCTTCTGTCGCAGCGGCTTCTGAAGAATCTGGAATCGTTTCTTGATCATCTCCTCCGTTCTCTTCACCACACGTTGAGTCGTCGACTGCAGAGTATTAAACAGCTCTTCAGCCTCAGTCATGCTGCTGTCGACCGGATAAGGCACCACGACATGCTTCGAGAGTGCGTATCCTGCATGACCGACGACATGCTTTCCCTCGGGAAGAATCTCCGCCAAGCTCCGGCCAAACCGCGAGTACCTCAACGTCTCCTTGTCCGTAACCCCTCCAGGTCGCACATCCATGGCTCTCACTCGACACTGAGCATCCACCACTAGCTGCACGTTCTCCGCCGGAAAGCGCTTGCGGCAGTACCAACCTTCCCACCGTCTCGGGCGCTCAATCTCCACGAGCATTCCCCCCACGGCCAGGCAGCAGTTCGGATACCCACAAATGGCCTCGAACCCGTCGCTGAGTCTGCTCCAGCCCTCGTCACTCGATGGGGAAGTGAAGCACTGAGCCTTCACGCCGTCCGACAGCAGGACGTCCACCACCTGCCACACGTAGCGCTCAGCAGCGCTCGGAGTCACGTCGAACTTCTCCGCTGCCTGCTCCAGCTCGATACAGTGCGTCAAATAGTAAAGCGCGACGGCCACGCGTTCCTGCAGCTGGAATCTGGAGCTGCTGCTAATGGGGCGATGGATTTGCGTCCACTGACGGTTGATGAACGCGCAGATCCAGTCGAAGGACGAGCGCTTCATGCCGAAAGTTGATCGGAACAGAACGTCGTCAATTTGCAGCGGTGAGAGCGACAACCGACGGCGTTTGGGGGAGCGAGGAGAGGTCTCGTTGATGGGCGGATTGGTGGCGTGCACCACCGCGGCTAACGCAGCGGAAACGGCGGTCTCCACGGCCGCTAGAGCCACGCTATGCTTAGGATCGTGCATTAGCTTTTTAGTTTTCCAAAAGAGAAAAAAATCCCTTCTTGAAACTTGAAACTAAAAAAAATGTGTGTCATCGGAGTTTCCCTCCTCCACACCGTCTGCTCGGGTACGGAACCCCATTGCGCTGACAATGCGCAGAGCGCATGCCCACACAACAACCTACCCTCACAAGTTCAAAAACCTTGGTCGTCATTACCGCTGGAATACTGCCAGCCCCCCCAGGTCAAGCAGCCTGCACTTGAGAAGCTCCTGGATGGTTTCCTGAGTTAATTCGAGGGAAGGCTATTTTCGGAGATAAGAAGGCGAGTACGCGCAGAATAGACCATCTCACCCTCCATGTTCAAGGCCGGCACGTCGGCGTAGTGTAGATGCAGTCATTTTCCAACTTTCAACGCGCTAGAAGCTGACAAGCTTCCAAGGAAAGCAACCGTTAACGCGAATTCGCAGTGCACAAACCGTCCGCAGATAATCTACGTCGAAGATGGCTGCATCCTTGCTCTCTCGCGGTTCCTACCTCCTCGTCTTCCCGGAAGACCTGAACGGGTCCATCGCCTCCCCGGTCTACGCGAAGATCTCGAACGCCAGAGGCACGGCGGTGACGGCGCTGCTCGACGCGGATGGCGACGAGTGGGGACCTACGGTGAAGCTGCCAAGAGCTACTGCTCTGGCAAGAAAAGTCGACAGCAGGGATGCCGAAGGCGAGAAACTATGTGCCTGGGTCCGACAAGATGTGTGTGCCAAGATCGACGGCCACTTCTGCTACGGTCAAGTCACGGGACCCTCCGAGTCGGAACTCATCATCAGCACGAAGTCAGGTCCGGTGGAGACCAACAAGGCCGATATCTGCGACTCGGTGTATCCCGTGGTAGCAATGGTCATGGGGTGTCACGAGTTCCCGCTTGACAGCTGGAGTTACGACCAACTAGACGAAATGCATGGTGCCATCATGGATCGCCTGTTAAATCCAGCTTGTACGACGGCCAGTAGCCCAACTCATGCATGGACTGCTGCTACCCGAAGCGTCACCCGCATACGACCGAATGTACACCTGGATCGTCCCTTGCACAGGAAAGCGCGCCCGAGTCTCGCTTCAGCATGTAATCAACTACGTATATTACATCGACGGTGGGAAAAATGCTCCGGTGGACATGGAATCCTCCTTTGGTTCCTCTTTCTGCGACCTGAACCCAACCCAACCCGTTGGAACGAGCGTGGGTTCGTCTACACGAAGTCGGAACGATGAAGGAACGGCTACTGCAGCTCCCGACACCACCGCATTCTTCGACATGACTGCCGTGGACGACGATGCAGAAACCGCGGCAGACGAAGCCGTGCTCGCGCAAGCTTTAATATCGAACGGCACCAACGGTGCTGCAAATGAAGGGCGCCTGGTGCCCATCAATCGCTCGCAACATACTCAGCCAAGACCCGCGGGGCCTGCCCCGGAGCAACAGGGCCAAAGCGGGCACGTACCGTGCTCGGCTGTACCGGTGGTAGCAGAGCGAATGATTACCGAGACTTCAGCCGAAGTTGAAATTCTGGATCTAATGCGGATGCACAAACCGCACCTCCTACCCCACCTCATGGAGTCTCGCCGAGTGCCCGCCACTGGAGCTAAACGCCCAGCGGAAAAAGCGGAAGACAGAGGGACAGCCAAACGGAGTAAAATCAGCTTTGCACCAACGCCCGAGCAACGCCAAGTTCATGACATCGTCACCTCAGATGCTTACAAAGGTAAGTCTCCCGCCTCTTGTATGGATTCAATGGTGTCCAACGCCGAGCTCCTGTTGTGGGCCTACCCCGGTGTCGCAATGCGCGCGTATGACCTCCAGTTTGGAAGTCGTGGACTTTCGTTTCTACACTTTACGCCTGTGGATCATTTGGTTCGGCTCAAGCGTCAGCGGGAAAGCTTCGTGAACATGAGTGATTTCTCCGTCTCTGCCAAGTTTCTACCAGCCTCGGACCCCTCGTCGTGGGACGACATCCTGGCCGGTGCGATCGGTTTTCAGCAATACTGTGCGGTGATGTGTGATGTGGTGACCCAACAACTCGCCACGACACTCTACAACTTCATCGGTGCTCTCAAGAGTCGAAACAGGTGGCCCCAGGACATGCTTCTCACGCTAGTACTGTGGATCGACTCACAACTCGAGCAATACAGGAACGCGGTGGCGGTCGACGGTGTAAATGGGACAGCAACAAGAAACCTGATTTCGTCACGATTTATTCCAGACAACCTCGAGCTACACGGGCTTATACTAACCGCTCAGCGAGAAAAGATGGAGGCAATGACGCGGTCGGCTCCCTGCAACACCACTCGCTCCGATGAGCAACCACGGCCACCACGTCCCCAGCGGCACGGTAGCAACAAAGGGAGGAAAGTACCTGAGGACATCCCAATTCCACGTCAGGATGGGAAGGAAGTCTGCTTGAAGTTCCTGTCAAAGCGCGGCTGTCCATCAAGCGACCCGAATGTGTGCGACTACGCCAGCAGAGTGCACTTCTTCCCGGCAGCGCTGACGGAGAAGCTCATAGGCTACATCCGCCACAGATTCGGCGGCATCAATAGCAAGTATACCTCCACATGAAGACGTCCAGGAAGCGATGGTCCTTGCGACCTTGGACAGAGTAGTGTGGACCATCACGTATTAGACGCCTCAATAGACTCGGCTTCTCAGTACGTACCCCCAGTTACCTTGTCGGGAGCAGAGCATCCCGCTACCCTCTCCAACGAACACGACGCGGAACTAGCTCACATCAGCTCACAACCCGCCTACAACGCCACGCTGGCCCGGATATTCCAGCTCGAATCCCCGCGGCGCGTACTCCCCCGGTCTCAGGAGTGCAATCCACGCAGCTCGCGTGGCTTGACTCAGTTTGAGTTTCCGTGCACCCGACATCACCGGTCTCGTGCTTCAGGTCGTAGCAGTTTGCTCGGCACGGCTCAGCTCGAGCCACTGAAGTCTCAATTTCACGGCCCCCGTCAGGCAACACAGCCTGGTTTACCTGCCACGGCTCAGCAGGAGTCACCAACTCGGCATCTTGTTCGTACCAGTGGTGCCGGCAAAACCCCGAGAATAAATGGTGGTTACCAGAACAGCGGTGCGGAGTTGCCCATACTTAGCAAGCTCGACCCGCGCAAAATCACATCCAGCAACAAAACGGCTCAGCTGCGCGTCGGAACAATGCGCCAGGTACCAGTAGCTCGCGCGCGTGCTAGTCCCACCGCTACGCCAGCACCCCAGCTACAACGTGAAGGGCGCCCGGAACTATGTCTATACGCAACGAAGCTACCGCGACAAACGCTGAACTCCGTCACGGTCCCCTTACAAGAGCCGAAGTCGATGGCAAGTCACGTCCAACGGATACTGAGTGAGCGGGCGACAGCACGTGTAGCTAGCCAAGTGCAAGCGTTCAACGCATTCTGCACGCGGCTCGGGGTAGATCCCCCACGAGACGTCCCTCTCCGCCAGAGCAACGGTCACTGCCAACTTAACACGGAACTGCAGCGTGTTACTACGGCGATGGCATGTGAACACAAGATGCGCCTCCAAGACATTGTTGAACTGGTACGAGACCAGGAGCGAGGTGATTTTCGCCCGAACAAGACAATGTATCCGTCTCGTTTCACTCGGATGGCTACCGACACAAGGACCTCTTGGTGCAGATAGCCCGCACTGGTATTCAACCAACTTGGAAGTAGCACGACCCCTCTCAAACGAAACCGATTAAAAAGCCACCGATCGGCATCTCGACATTTCAACGCTGTCATCAGGGCCATTCGCAAGGGCCAAGATGCGGGGCAGTACCTCGTTCTCGATGCTAAAGTGCTTCGGCATCGGGAAAATATTCAGATCAGCCCCCTCGGCGCAGTACCGAAAAAGGATTGTTCTCCTGAAGACGAAGTAAGGCTAATTCATGACCTCTCATTCCCCCGCGGTCACTCGACAAACGATGCATCAAGAACAGAAGATTGTCCTGACGTCGAGTATAAACACGTGGCTGCGATCGCGAAACGAATTGAAGCATGCCACGCTCGATACAAGGGAGCCGCTATAATGATCATGAAGGGCGACGTGAAAGGAGCGTTCCGCCACCTAATGCTGGCTAGCGGCCATGTTCGCTGGATGGCGGCCACAATCCCTGAACTTGGTGTACTGATCGTGGATATGTCCGCTCCAGTCGGGTGGACAAGTTCTCCCGCCTTTTATGGCGCATTTGGTGGTGCCATCACGTGGTTAGTTAGTCGCGAAAGCCCCGCCTCCATGGACAAAACCTCTCGCGACCACGACCCATTTTTGCCTACGAATGGGTCGATGATCATGTCCTCGTCGAACCTGACACCGGAAACCGGCTATTTCTCGCAATTGAAACGCTACGACTGGCGATGCTAGCGATTCTCGGTCCCGGAGCAATCAACGAAGACAACTTTAGCTCGTGGGAATCAAGCCTTCAAGTGTTGGGACTGGTGTTTGACATCGCTGCACGGACGGTGTCAATGCCTCGCGAAAAAATCGCTAAAGCCCTTGTTCGGGTTCAATCATTAGCAATTCAGCAACACATCACTCGAACCCAGCTGCAGCAACTCCTAGGAAGTCTACGCCATGTTTGTTCGTGTCTCCGCGCCGCAAAACCATTCTACCAACGACTACATGCCGCGAGTATTCGAGCGCCACGCTATGGAAGAATAGCTGTCGAGAATTCGATGGTCTGTGATCTGCAGTGGTTTACCATGATCCTAACTCATGGCCGGCTTCAACAGCTACCCCTAGCAAGGTTTACGGATCAACAACCCATCGATGTTCATCTTTACATGGACGCCAGCAACAGTGGCCTGGCCGTCTTCAATCCCGCCACGCAGCAATACATCCAAGTGCGATTTGATGAAGAAGAACAAGCACGCATTCACGCAGCATCAGGCTCGGATGGATTTAACATAAATGTCCGGGAGCATCTATGTGTGGCCTTAGCGGCGTGGATATTTGGACCTGAGTGGGCGTCAACCCCAGCTAAACCCATGATCTTTGTCAGAGCATGGTCTGATAACACTTCGGCTGTGGCATGGACAAACCGGCTATCGAGCTCCAATCCACTGGCGCAAGTGCTTAACCGAGCGATCGGACTGGCGGAGGCGATATTTGGCTTTCGTATTTCGTGTGGGCATCTTCCTGGGGCGATAAACACAATGGCGGATGCCGGATCTCGAGCGTGGACATCACCATTTAGTGACACCTGGTCTAACTTATCGTCTGCGTGGTCTTAGATTCCAGTACCACCAGCGCTACGCAAGATCTACACGGACTTCTCGCTCAATTACAATACTACTCATTGGCCGCGCAGTCCCGACCAAAGTACGCCGCCACGTGGAAACGATGGTCAGCGTGGTGCTCAGCGAACGGATACTGCAAGTGGCTTCCCGCCGACATGCAGGAGCACTCCTACCAGCTTGCGTTGTTTGCCGTCCACTACTGGGCAAATTCAGGAAAACCCCTCTCAGCGAATACCGTGTTGGCCGCGATCAGCCATGTGTCTTGGTATCATATCCGTAACCCCTGATACTCGGTCGGGCTGCACGCGGGACACAACATGGCCGTGCGGGGGATGCAGCGGTTGTCACCACCTCCACGCCAAAGTAACCAGTCACAATGGCCAGCCTACGCGAAATACGGAGAAGATGCAACTTCCAGTCAGCCCACGACCGCGTGCTCTGGGGGGCTGCGGTCATGGGCTTCTTCTTTCTACTGAAGCGGTCGGAGTACCTCGCGGATGGTACAAAGGTGAAGGCATACATTATTCGAGTCAACGACGTGCAATTCCTCTCCACGCAAGAGGCCCCGGCTCGCTCAATCGACAAGGTGGCTGCAGTCTCGATCAAGTTCCGCGGCAGCAAGTCAGACCAAGTCGGGGCCGGGGCTACGAGAACACTACACAGATCGGGCTCTGCATGGCTGTGCCCAGTGCTAGCAACATGGGAGCTAGCACAGAATGCTCGCATTTTCGGCAGCAATGAAGCTCTCTGTGCTACCGGTACCGGCAAGGTCCTCGCCGCAAATCGTCTGGCTGAAGCAATCAAGTGTGCCGCTGCCGCCGCGGGGGCAGACCCTTCAACTTTCGGAACTCACGGCACTCTTCGCGGCTGGGGTCGACAGGCTCACAATCAAATTATTCGGAAGATGGTCCTCCGACGCGTTCGAGCGATACACCAGGATGAACGAGGCAACAACAAGATCACTCGCGGAACAGATGGAAGAGGGGCCTGGTCACGTGTCAGCCCAGTTACACTGGTTGGGGCTTCGTCCAGCTACAACACGGAGCTCGACTAGCTAACACGTATCCGAAAATGATTTGACTGCGCCCCCATCGCTGCATTATCTCTGAAAAAAATGTTGATGGCAGCGTTGACGTCTCGGTTCCAGAAGTGGGCCCTGCAGCGACTGTTCTTACAGTACAGGACGTTTCTGTTGCCCTTCAAAACGATCTTGTTCTCCTTATCCTTGACCTTGGTCTGCAGTCGGGCTCTGCGAAGGCTCTGGTGGCAGCAAGAGCACAGCTTGCTCGTCCGAAACTCGTCCATCGGCAGCACAGTAGCGCGCCGCTCCAGCGCCTTCCTGAACGCCTTCACCGGAGCGCGAGGGTTGCCCCGGAGTCCATCTTGGCAGCTCCAGTCCCCGAATGCGACGCACACATGTGGACTTGGGGTCGGCACAAGCCGCTTGGCCAGAGTGTCGATTGCCTTCATTTTCATGCGGTACAGTAAAAAGCGCCACTTCCGGAAGGAGTGCTGTGCCGAGAACAGCACCAGGTACTCTGCGTGCTTCAGAAAATACCGCAGTCGATCCAAGTAGACTTGATATCTTGCTGTCTTGAACGTCGGCATACCGTCAAGGATCTTGGCGTACGAAGCCTCCTTCTCCCGCAGACCGTTGTTCCAGAAGCGATGTTTGCCAATCTTGGACATGTGGTAGTACTCGCGGGTGTTGATGGCGACGATCCGCTGCCCGTGTCGGTTCATGCGCTTGTGTTTCGCCCGTCGGTTCTTGTGCTTTCGCTTCCCTTGTCGATTACGTCGGCGTCGCGACTGCCGAGTTGGAAGGCTACCTTCACATGCCGCGGTGCACAGAGTCCTCACGCCGGGGTCGATGCCGATCATGACGTCAGGAGCATATCCGGGCGGCAACTTCTTCATCGCCGCTTCGAGGGCATCTTCCTCGACCGCTTCCGGAGCATGACTACCTCACCTTTATTATTCTTTTGGCGCTTGCGAGGCTGGTCCGGGTTGTCGTCATCCTCGCGGCGAGGCGTCTGGTGGCGCAGCAGAACGGAAGCTGCATAGCCATCCGTTGTGATTTGGTACGCGAACTCCCGTGTGCTGGTCTCAAGTCCATTTAGCCGAAACATCTTCCGAAAAACAGCATCCTTGTTTTTGCTAAACTGGCGGCGAACTTGCTCTGTAGATCCGCATTCCACACCAAGCTCGTCCTTCACGTACGTCTTGACTTCTGCCTGACGCTCAGGGTCCGTGAAAAGTCGGTAGAACACTTGATGCAGCGACGTAATGTTTAGCGTCACGTTTGCGGGGATCAATGAGCTGGAGTAAGGGAGCAGGGAGTAGAGACGCGCGCCCTTTGTCTTTGGGTGCTTCTCGACAAATGCCTCCATCTACTGGAGCATGTCGTATAGCTTCACGATAAAGTGCGTCGGGTTTTGGCGAATGCGCCACTCCCAGGGCACGAAGCCAAGCCAGTCGCGGAGCTCACGCTCCGCAGTGGATCTTGGTTCGTCCCATACATAGGCCACGTTGCCGGTGTCCACGCCGTCGACGTCGAGGTGGGGGACTTCCTTGACACGATAGCAGCCAGCAACGAGCGTCCGCGTCGCCTTATAGCCGAGTTGGAGCTTGCCCGTCGTCGCGTAGCGGAACCGGATGTACTGGTGAAGTCTCCTTCGAAAGTGAAGAGCCAGCATGTTGATGGTGTTCGTCTCCATCGTATCGGCCATCGCGCGCCTCATGGGACCCGAATTGACGCTGCTTGGGGGGAGGTATTCGGGAAGTCGTTCGCACAGCTCCCAGTATCTCATGAAGGTCGGGTGGAGGTCCGGATACTCTGGGCTGTTCCTCGTTCTCTTCTCCGTTTCATCCAGCGAGGCGCTGCAGCACCGGTAGAAGAAGTTAGAGTCGAGGGCCGGCAGGGCAGCGCCCTCTTGTAGATACCGCAGGACGTGCATGCCAGCAATCTTCCATCGCAGCAAACAGACCAGCTTGAGCTCCGATGCCATCGTGCGGATCTCGTCGGTCAGGAAGTCGAGGTCGCAGAGCTGATTGAGCTTCATCTTGACGCTTTGATACGTGTAGACGGGGGTTGAGTCGGTCGAGCCGGCGGGGGGCTTCTTGCGCTTACCCGGCATGTTGCAAATTGCGGAATGAGACCCACCTGTGCTAGGCGGCTTCGGTACCAGACGCATCCAAACGCGGTATCGCCCATTCCCCTGTCGCTTTAAGTGAAGCGCAACCTGGAGCACCGGGGCTAATGCGTGTTCGGAGTGATGATCTCCCGCGACTCAAGCCAATCAATACCCTGTGACGAGACGTAACTTCAAGTTGCACTTTCAAACTTGGACCCATTTTGCACTGCGCTGTTTCGCTTTTACACCAAACATCGAAGATCCACAGAGTGATTGTGACGGGGCACACAGCACTTCTTAACAGAGGAAGCAGGAGTATACAAACTCCAAGTGAACAGCCGTTCACGTGTCCCTGGTCTGAAGGGGACGACTTGACTTGAAAAGCGGTAGATCTAAGACTGAATGTATTTATAGGTTGGTATAGATTTGGCCTGCATACAAATCCTAAGTTCCCTATAGTTTGTGTCATACAAAATGTATCTGTTGGCTCTGAGGCCACTTGAGTCACTATCCAGGGGAGTGACCGATGTAGCCATCCCGGAATAGTGACAGGGTCACTATTCCATGTAACCCCGTTACATCCTCCCCCACTTAGATTCGATCTTATCGACCAATCAGAGCGAGGTTACGCCGGCGACTCACATTTGACTCGCAAAGTCGAAATCCATCGACAACGGCGCGAGCTCTGGTGCCTTGGCTCCCGGGCCTCACAGAGCAACTGGCGCATCGCCGAGCAAGCCGCAGGGTCTCCACGTCGACCGGAAGCATGCCTCCAAAGCGCAGTGCGAAAGCACCTCCGAAACCGCGGGCCGTAGGGCCGATAACCAGGGCGGCCAAGGCCAAGGACGAGTCGTCCGCGCTGATGGAGGCCACGAAGGCGGCCGAGAATGTGGTGCGCTCTCGTAGCAGCACGCAGGAGAGTGGCCGTGAGGCCGGGGCTCGGAGCAAGTCTCCTGACGCCGCGCAAAGCAAGGAGGAGAGTCCTCGGGGCCATAAAAGCCCGACTCGCGACTGGGAAGCCGCCGTCTTTGACTGCACGATGGTCCAGTACTCCGGTGAGAGTTCACCCGACGACGAGAACGTCTCGGAGGGCAGCACGCACGCTGCCGAAGGCACGGAGCTGGCGGCAGGCGACATGACCAACGCCTCGGCCGACGCAAAGGCCTTGTCAGAGAAGGAGGCGGAGGACGCCGAGTCCGGCTCAGGCGACAGCAAGCAGTCGCACGACGAAGTCGCTGTGACCGACGCTGGGGTCGTGGCCGAGAAGTCGCCGAGCGACGCGGGCTCCAAGCCCAAGGAGGTGCTGGCATCCAAGCATCTGATGCTGGCACAAGGTCGTGAGCGTGCCCAAGCGTCGAAAGCGGCTGCCGCTGCGAAGGCCGCCGAGGCCAAGGCGAAGAAGCGTTCAGCTTCCAGGTCGCCTCGAAGATGGACGAGCTGAAGCAAGAGGCGAGAGCCGAAGCTCGTGAAGAGCGTGGGCGTGGTGCGACTACGTCTGCAACCGTGCCCCGGGTACCGGCCAAGAAGCCAAGGACTACTTACGAAGCTGCCGCTGCTTCTCGTCCCATATCGCAACAGCCTTCGGGCAGTCTGCCTGGAGCTGCTCAACGGGCTCCCACGAGTTATCCGACTCAGGGTAACCGCTCCACTTCACGAGCAGCTGGCGCTTGTCATGGAGCTGCCGCTCCCGGACGACTCGGTCCACGTGGTAGCGGATCTGCCCATTACGATCAAGGAGGGCCGGCGGTGGCCTCAGCGGTAGGTTTCTAGTATCTAGGAGAACTAAATCCCCAACCTTAAACACGTTCATGTTTCCTCTTCCATTTCGGTCAGAGTACTCCTTCTGTTTATCTTGGGCTTGCGCCATGGTGTCTCGCACCCTGCTGATTATGTCCAGCCTGTCTTCGGCAAACGAGGACAGTTGCTTCCGCAAGGTGGCTGGACTCACGTCCGAGACTTGGGAGGAAAAGGTTTTCCGAGCCTCTCCCCCACTTAGGACCGAAGCCCCGGTACTGCCTCGTAATGTGAGCGGCACCTGAGGGTGGCGCAACCCGTTCAGGTAAAAGGGCGTAAAGCCCGTCGATGCATGTACCGCATTGTTGAGTGCGAACTCAACCATGGGCAAGCGATCAGCCCAAAAGCGGGGCATCTCCGCGCAGATACTGCGGAGCGTGTCTTCGAGCACGCGATTGACGCGCTCCGTCTGGCCATCCGTCTGCGGGTGGTCCGCCGTCGACATCGACAGTCGTGTGCCGAGAAGGCGAAACAGCGTCTGCCAGAACGTAGCGGTGAACCGCGTGTCTCGATCAGAGACAATGGTCTCGGGCAGACCGTGGTGTCGGAAGACACAGTCCATGAACAGGCGAGCGACCTCGTCGCCAGTGCCGGTGTCACGAACTGGAGCAAAGTGGACCATCTTGCTCAGACGGCACACGAAGGCAACAACACCAGTGTTGCCACGGTCATCGGCCGGAAGTCCGAAGGCAAAGTCGAGACTCATCGACTTCCAGCAGTCCGCTGGGACCGGCAGGCTCTGCAATGGTGCCGAGGCGTGACCGGCAGGCTTCACGCGCTGGCACGTCTCGCACGTACGGACGTAGGTGGCGACCCACTTGTACATGTGACGCCACCAAAACATCAGCGAGACAGACGCGTACGTCTTCTCACGGCCGAGATGGCCACTGGATGGAGCGTCGTGCGCCTCCATCAGGATGTCGTACTTGAGATCCTCGTCGTTGGGCACGACAATACGGGGAGGATCCTCGGGCTCGACCCTATAGTGGAGCAAACCGTCAGCCCACTCATAGCGGTGCAGCCTTGCACGTTGTCGGGGCGTGAGCCACTCGGCCTTGGCTTCCGAGCCAGCGGCCAAGAACCGCACAAGAGGTTCGAGACTGGCATCGTCTCGGTACCCCAGCCTGATA